GGATTTCACAGTACTGAGTTAGAAGGGTCTCTTGCGAGCTTAGAGATGTGAGTCCTGCCATGGATTGTTCGTGGGTGTATATCGGTGTGTATTTTGTACTTTATGTTGGAATGTGAGGGATCAGTTTAAGGTGTTATTGTTGTTGTTTTGTTTTTGTTGTATTGATTTGCGCACAATGAAAAAAAGCAATGACAAAAAAGACACAGTGTAATCAAAAGTAAAAAAAACTGTGCTCTTCACAAAAAATCTGATCACACAATGAATTATAAAAAAGTTGTAATCAATCAAGCCTTAAAAAACAGGCTTTTTATTTTTTTTTCTCAAAAAACGTGCGCACTGGATGTAATACAAATATGCGCCAATAAGTCCTAACAGGATAATCTTGCTTAGCCCCTTGGAATGTTGTTAAGGAGAAAAGAGACAAGTGTTTCTCTTGAAAAGAATTTTCACTACTCAGAAGCCCCGCGCTCTTTTGTTTAAATCAAATCGAGTGGCGCTAGCTCACAATAAAAGAGAAATCCAATGAAATCAATGTCGGCGCAAGATTATTGACAAAATTGATTCTTTCCCGCGAGCTATACAAACGGTGGTGCCAAATCAGCCACCCCACCTCAAATTTTCCGCAGATAGAAAAAAGATGCAATGAAAACTCTTAACGAAACTTCTTAATTTCCTAGCGCAACTATCTCAATTTAAGAGTCGTCGGCGCTATCCACATAAAAGAATTGTTATTGGCGCAAAGTCCCTATTTTGAAATTGCACCCAAAAGAACGAACTATTTTGAACTAATCCCAACCGAACTTATTCTACTTGGTGGCGCAATTATCCGAATTTTGATTAATGAGTCAACTAACCTGACTGCTGCGGTCCAGTCCTCTATAGGCGATGCACCATGAATAAAATCGATTTTGACACTGTACTCGAGGTACTTTCTCGACTGCCACGCGTATGAACAGAGCACACCGATCCACGAACGTTTTATCTCAAACTTGGGTAATTAAACGATTGCCAACAAGAACGATGTTAATTTACAACATAACATAACGAGTAACAACGAATAACAACGTATATCAACAGCGAAATATCCTAAAGTGAACCTATGAAATTTTTCTTCCCGTTCTTTTCTCTGAACGCGTCCTAAACCTATTGACTGTCAGCGCAGAAGCAATCTGAACACTTAAACTCGTGATACTTGAAAACAATAAGCGTTAAATCAATGGCGGCGCACTACCCGTACGGCGCATAACGACGGGTCCCCTCGTGTTCACGGACTTCTACCGAAAAAAGAGGTCGCGCACTTTCTCATCCCATATTTTGAACATAGATACGAACACCTTGGAACACGATTTGAGAACAGATTTGCACTTATACAATTCCTACACCGGTCTGCCCATAGTCCTACATAATGCAGTTGAATCCATTGAATAGGCGGCTGGAGGAGGAAGGAAACACTAAAAGCGATGAGCAATATAGAAAGTAGCGTCTTGTGGCGCTGAACGATCCAGAACTCCTTGCGAACGTAAAGGCTTTACCGTCACATGAAACCTGGTTTCACACAATAAGAATCCACAAGTACTCAATTCCTTCCTATCACTAACTAATCTGGCGCAAACAAAGCCTTTACTGGAATATCGTCCTCCGGTCCGCGAGAGAAGTTACTGCTCGGGTTCGAGTAGCATAAAGATGAAAGGATTTGCCGCTCAAAACAAACAAATTAAACAAGAAATGATAGGCCGATTTGAGTTTTGGGGCTTGGGGTGTCGAGTCCCGCGCAAATGCAATTTCCATACAGGACCATCCCTGGCACGACACCCCAAGCCCTTTAAATGGCGCACTTGTCCTCTTTCGGTTGCATGGGCCGCAACCCAACTAGAAACTCGCGAACGCAAGATACTTAGCGAGCCTCTTGCAACTCTTGTATGTAGCGAGGTCCTTAGGGCTTGTATGCTTCCTTCTTCTGTTTCACGACTCGCTGGACCTCCTCGTTCCAGAACCACGCTGCCTTGTCTCCTCTGAATCCACCTCGCGTCTCGCCCAGTACCTCCTTGGCGCATCGTAGGATGATCTCAGCTGCATTGCGCCAAGTCTGCTGCACTGGTCCCTCAGGATCTGGGAGACCAACTTCCATTATCCTTCGTTTGAGGTCGCTCTTCTCTGCTCGGTGCAACTTCCACCACCGGATTCTCCTCTCGGTTCTTACCCTTGTCTTCTTGGGAAGGTCTATGGCTATGTCTGCCAGGAGGGGCCTGTGCTGAGGAGCCAGTTCTTCGCCAGGAATTACCTTGATATCCTTCACAGTTTTGAGGGATGATCTTCTTACCAGTACATGGTCGATTTCCGTCTGTCTCATACGATAGGTTACTTTCTGAGTCTCCCTTTTCGCGAAGAACGTGCTGCAGATTGCCAGATCGTGGGCAGTAGCCAGGTCCAGGACCCTCTCTCCTCGGCGTTCCTCACTCCTATCCTCTACCTCCGTGCACCCTTTCAAGGCCTCTTGTCGCTGCCGACGTGCCATTCAGATCACCTGCTATGGTCAAGTAATCGCCTTCCGGGATCGATCTGATGGCTTCGTCAAGCCTTAGGTAGAACTCGTCCTTCTCACTCTCGGGGCATCCGGTCTGCGGAGCGTACACTGACGCAGTTGACGACCATACCCCTTCGTATCTATCCTTACAGCGTTATCCCTCGCTAATTCACAAGAGACATAGTCTTTATGGGCGGAACTTTCCGCTTTTTTTTACCCGCCGCTATGGCCCACCGTTCCGCTTGGTGTCTTCCCCATTGTAGTAGAGTTTGACACCTTCCCCGATTTCCCTGGCCTTGGCCCCTTTCCATCGCGTCTCCTGAAGGCATAGGACTTGAATTTTTCTGCGCGTCATCAGATCAGCAACCTCTCGGGACCTTCCAGTTAGCGACCCTACGTTCACAGTTCCAATTCGAACTAGCTTCTTTGGCCGAGGCCGTTCCCTCCTCGGTAGCCTAGCATACATTATACGAAGTTATACTGGGCGGAGTTCAGCATGGCCAATATATTTCCCTTAAAGAGCGACTCATACTCTACCCATTCAAACTTGACCCGCCCTCCCTAGGTGATTTTTGAAGGAAGAATTATAAACATGTGGGGGACACTTGCGAATTTTTGGGGAGCGGTCAGACAAACAAACTCTGGTTTATATATAAGTATGATATGAATATTCAAACTGGGAGCACAAATACCTGGACATGCATGTACTGGTATACTTGAATATTGACTGGAAAATAATGGGTTCGAGAAAATTCTCCATAATCAAGACATGACTGCCAACGCTCTTACTCAATGATACCTGCGTTGAACGAGGTTATCTACGACCAAGGCAGGGAGCACAATCAAATTGGTGTTTTTGTTTTTCGATCCGAAAATTAGATAAGAAGTGCAATGATTAACGTCAATGAAGCGTAAAAGCAGAAAGTGCCATGAAAAATATAGAAATTTCCCTTGTGACGTCGGCCATGGTATAATGGAGGGTCCAAGGCTGCGAGGAGAGGGAAAAAGCAAGAGAGAACGTTGACGAGAGGGGGCAGACACCAAGCGTGCTGCGATTGGAAGGTTTGGAAGCGGCGGAAGGGCAGAAGCCAAAGCCTCAGCGCCATTGCCTCTCGCGACAGATGGCGCGCCTCCCATAGCTTGGGATCCCTTCTTTCCCATTCGGGGAACAATACCAACAACCAGATGAGGCTTGATCCTCAAGGGCTGTCGGCTTTCTTCTTCATATCAAACTGGAAAAAGCTTTTTTCAAGAAACATCGATAACAATTTATACTTTCTAAAGGTACAGTACGACAGAGGTTGGTGTCTTATGTTAGGGAAATGAACGTAGGCGCTTGCCAGACAATACGAGGCAGTGGCTGGCAGAAGGGGCTTCGGCTGAATGTCAAGAAGACCAAGTTCCTGAGCTCTGAAGAGGGTGCAGAGCCGATCGTGGACGGCCATGGTGAGACCATCGAAAGAGTGGAGGACTTCCGATACCTTGGGAGCGATCTGGCAGCCGACGGTAGTGTGGATCAGGCAGTGAAGGCTCGGTCAACGCTGCATGGATGAAATGGAGGGAGTCCACTGGAATCCTCTGCGATCGAAGGTGCTCCAGAACGCTCAAAGGGAAGGTGTACCGGACAGTGGTAAGGCCTGCGATGCTATACGGCAGCGAGTGCTGGCCCCTGAACAAGAATCACGAAAGGCAGCTTCACTCCGCTGAGATGAGGATGCTGAGATGGGCCTGCGGCTGGACGCGACTGGACAGGGTCAGAAACGAGGATGTCAGAGCGGTCATGCAGACTGCCCCTGTCCAGCTGAAGGTACGGGAACAGCGTCTGCGATGGTATGGGCACGTGCTAAGGAGGCCACAGGACCATCCGATAAGAAAGCGATGGACTTCGAAGTGCAAGGCAAGCGACCGCGAGGAGCCCCAAAGAAGAGGTGGAAGGACGTAATCAAGAAGGACCTAAGTGAAGTCACGGCCACAGCAGAAGATGCCCTGGACAGAGCGAAGTGGCGACGACTGATAAAGACAGCGGACCCTGCGACTGCGCGGGACTAACGCTAGGGAGAAGATTCATCCCGACCCGTGCCTTCCGTCATGTGGCGTTGAAAGCGTGAGATTACAGCTGCATGCTGGCTGTTTTGTGGTGCACTATGCATGTTGCGCTACGCAATCAACATCCCTCCCTTGCCTTCAGCGCGCCTGACAGAGCTTTCTTGCCAAAGTCGGCCGTGCGGACTCTTGACCGTGGTAACTGTATGGTTTTTCTGGCAAGTGCCAAACTCATCTACAACAAAGGATTTATTCAACGACCTGAAACATGACAAATGCCGCTGTGATTTTGTCATTGAACCAAGTGATAAAAAGTAATGATGAAGACAACTAGGTATAAATATGCTATTATGCAAACTTTCAAAATTATCAATCAGAAGCTAGAAACTATCCATAAATCGATTGGGCACAATGAAGGCAATTTAGAAAAAACCTAATGAGGTACATGAATAAGTGACGTATCATGACGAATCGACTCGAACCCTCCATCCAGCACGCAAATGCCATCAATTCCGAGATTCACAAGATCACCGGAGAACTGAAATGTAGGAACGTTATAGGAAAGCTAACACTGACAGGAATGATGGAGATTAAGTGAGTAACCGAACCTTTCGAGTTACATCGACATCCTTGCCACCAACAATACAAATTGGGTGCTGATTTCTTTGAGCGAGTTTCATTGGCTCGGCAATATTCAGTAACGACTTGTCACTGACGTTGGGATAATTTATTGATCGTAAGACGCAACCTCTCCCAAACCTGAATGATAGGACCCGTGAATATCGTTCTAATTATGTGAGAAAAAAAAGCTCGACAAAAAGCTCACTCAATCTGAGGACGAATATCAATTGCGACGACTAGCTGGTCCGTAACTCTCCATGCAAACTCCTCACGTGACAGTCGAGGGCAGTGCCACTTCTTCATCTCTTTGTAAGGCACGTGTCGAAGACTGCACGGTAGTCCTCGGGGCGCTTCTATTGGCGTTTCTAGAATAGAGAAACTGGTGATTGTTCAATACTACACTCCACTCATACCAAACTTGACCCTGCTCATTCTTCAAATCATGCTGAGTACTTCAAAAACAGGCACACAGAGTGCAGAGCTTTATCTATAGTAGTTCTACTCTGCAGAGCATCAAAAACCCTTAAGAGTTAGAACCTTACCATTAGTGATGGCGTGCGAACGGAAAGCGCAACTAGGAGGAACGCGATCGTAGTATGCTACAGAATCTGAGACGACCACCTCCATGGAAAGATCTGAACACAACGATATTGCGGAACGGTTGGACTGGATTGTGAAACTGTAACGAATAATTAACCATTAACTTACCAGGTAAGTCGGAGAACAACAAGATTGCGTCATTAAACGATGCATCTATGAGAGTAGGTCGAAGTTGACGTAAAATAGCCAGACCTGAATAAAAGAAACATAGAAGTCGTGCAACAGCGGGATAAAATGTTTCACATACTTTGTCAAAATAAAAAAAAAGAATTTTTGTGGCTATCTTGGATGGTTTCCCTACCAAAGTTAGCAAGACAAACCGTTCTCCTTTATTTTCCGCAGAGCTATAGACGAAAACCCATTCCAAATTCAGCATGATTAAGAGATGTAACGTGGTTTGGAATCGAATTCAATAGAAAGGATAAAAGGGAAGACATAAAAGTTTGCCAAAAATACCTATGAACAAAGGAAACGAAGAATCTCTTTGCAGGAGCTGATCCCAGATGTGAAACAGTTTGTGAATAGGTAGCACGTGGGCAAAGCAAGTGAGAAACCATGGAATAGCAAACAATTCTGGGTAAAATTCCATAGACGCCAAACGGGTGTACAACTTTGCGTCCACAAACGCCAACAGATGGTTAAATACAGCAAGTTGTTCTGCAAACAATATTTTGTACTGAATGCTATCCGTGGAGAGAGCAAATGGATTTACCTTGAATCACAGCAGAATTATCTTTTAGGAAGAAATTGTTGAGATACTTCTTTATGAATGCAGTGAGACAGGCTAATGCGGTCGCTGAAAATGTTGAACTCAAGAGGAGTCCAAAAACTTCGAATAAGTGGAAATGGTTGACATACGCAGATGATTAAAATGTAACAATAGGAAAGGCGCTGCAAGACTGTCACACCCCTGCCAGTAAACATACTGCGGATGAGTAATGAGCCATGCTTTGAGAAGACGACGTAATCCATAATGCGCCGCGGGGGACGTCATCAACTCCTCGTACTGAAACAAACAGGGCTGTACTCAAAACCACACTGTAAAATTAAGTCGTGAAAGTTTGTCGATTCGTTCCGGTAGCATTTCTATCATTGCTTGAACACCATGTCGGGGTAGAAACTTCAAAAAAGCATGAAAACGCCCTTTGTCTGCAAGGCCTGTACATAGGGGTATCTCTTGTCTTTAACCTCGCAATTTTCACTTCCTGAGCTTCACAGTATCGCTGGCTAAACCATTCTATCTACAATTACGAGGCCGGCGATGTTTTGGAGTAGCACCGACGTGGAAGGGGATAGTACAAACGCAAAAGCTCACTACAACCCACCCAGAGTTAGATTTCACACATATTAATGTAAGAGAATCGAGCAAGTAAGGAGTAGGACATAAGCGATGTAACAGATGTAAGACAAAGAAGGCTTAATAAGCAGGCGTACCTGATGACAACGAGGTATATCTACGTCTAGTTGCCTATCGCTCACATGTACAGCCAACGTGTTGGAAAGATAGAAGTTCCACTCATCACTTGATCGCACATCCAGTAAAGCGCACCAAACTGAATAAATCCAAAATCAAAGTCAATGGAAGCTACTAAAACATGCCACTCGCTGTATCACAACATCTCTTGTGTTCTACAAAGAACACAGAGGAGTTGATGAGGGCATAATACAGCGAAATTCGATACAAATAAATGATCACCGTCAGCTCTCCTCATAGGTGGAACATCTGGAGCTACCGACACGAGTAGTTCTTGCTGTTTATAGAAACGCGAAGCTAAGAGATGACTGATAAGCCGCATACGAGATGCCTATAAATCCATTTTAAAAAGAAAATATGCTAGTGGTTACGCATAAATAAGCAACGAACCTGGTATAACATGTCTTTTTCCTTAACTATGACCGATAAATTATCATTCTGAGAAATGCTGGACTCTGTTGCAGCAAGAGAAGATTGCAGGAAAATGTCCTCTGACGCTATCGTACGCAATTTCTGGAAAAAAAAATCAAAAATCGCAATACATTACACATCGAAGCAATTCATAGCAAAAGAATGAAGAAAAATATTCACTTCGCGAATGTTCTTATCAGGAAGCATTACAACACCAGGTTTTACGCAAGGCCTTCGAGCTTCATCGTTACCAAACATCCGAAGGTCTTCAACCACGATACTAAAAGAACAGTTGCGAGATAACGATTCTAGGGGATCAAATCGCACAACCACAGTACCTTGGGTTTGTGAGCACCTGATGACGTAGCGTGATGACGTTGTTTCGTATCAACAATGCCTCGGCTGAAGAGCCACAAAGCCTCCAAAGAAACAGTGCATCTTCCACTGGCATTTCCCGTAGAATCCAATCTCTACTGCCGCTAGAGCTCATTTTTTCTGAAATCACAAAAATACAGATCTGGAGCGAGAAGAAGCGATCTAAGACGCACCGCTAAGACTTTCCACAGATTCAAAGTAGGACGGTTCAGAATCATGTAGTTGACGAGTAAAGCAAAAAATCTCATCCGGAGTGGGACGTTTCGAAGGCAATAATGAAAGACACTTCTCCAAAATAGTGAGTAATTTTTGGTCCAATTCCGAGATATCCCTTGCCGAATGAGACACTGATCGCAGCGCTTTCAGTATTGGGTCCAGAAGTGAACCATTGACAGCTGTAATGATAAGGTTGTGCTAGTTGAGGACTTGTAAACCATAGATTATTCATTAAGAGGAGAAACGAAATACTTCGAAACTCTAAACTACGTTAAATAGATAGGCCCTTATTTTCCCCTACATTAGAATTTCCGAGGCGCTAGAACTAGCAACATTCCAAGGTCATTATTTGATGGACAGCAGGACTATGAAGTAATTCATAATTACTGTGATTAACACTACAGAGTACATCGTTTCGGCAGGAAAATCACGATCAAAAGCATAAATTCATTTCGACATTCTGAGAAAAAAATATCACAATACCTCTCGACATGCTACACTTCAAAATAGTCATGTATTGCTTCAGCGACCAAACTTCCCGCAACAAGACACCCTATAAGCATTTGTTTAAAACTCACTCATCGAAATGAAAATTATACGAGATTGTGGTAATAAAAAAGCTTCTAGCTACCCTCAATCTGTGAGTAAAACTGACTCATAACCCATATACCGTGGCCATTTCCAGTAATACAATCCCGACTGCCCACACATCCGTTTTGAAAGTTGTTCCTCCAGATTTCAATCCTTTCAAGAGCTGTTCAGGAGCTATAGAAAAACCAATAGGCAATCCGTTCTGTATATCAAAGCCATCCTTGGAAATATAACTAAAAATAAGCAAGTATGAGCAATCACTCCACAGGTAACAGATGTATGCAACCTCTCACCTCACTGCGTACTGGGTAAGACGAACAGCCATCAATCTCTCTTCTTCGCTTTCAAGTATCACGACGGAATCAGGATTAAGTACTCCCGCACAAATACCAGCATCATGAAGTGCGGAAACTCCTCCAGCAATTTGCGATATTACATTGAGTATCTCTTCAGAAGAAAGACTAAAATGTGAAGAGTGAACGGATATCGCTTCATTCATTCATAAACAGGGATGAAAGAGGTCAACTGTAGCCATTTTTGCAGACATTAGTGGACAATTGCAAATTTCATGATGTCCAGCTGATATCATACTATGAAAACCACGACTGAATGTAAAATTCACCTTCTACTTGATAATAGTGATGAGAGTGACAGCTTGTGATGTTCAGAGATCAAGATAACGGCATTCGGAACTGTAAATACACAATTCAAAAAGCAACAATCCTTCATTTTCAATGTTCAAATCTTCAGCAATCTATCAAAAACCACGTATAAACAGGGTCGGTAAAATGGTTATCGATGGCAACCAAATTCTGAACGTGTCCATCAAAAGCGTACCTAGAGTGCACCGAACAAGCTCGATATAAGCACATAGCGCAGGATGCCGGATGCTTTTCAACTTTTCGAACCGACCCAGCATTCGAATACTCGACGATATTACTGGCAATCCGTTGACACATGTGCGACGGCCTTCTTCGATGCCGAGTAAAACAAGAGCTCCGAAGCCGGCGTTTTCTAGCAATCTCATCTGCAAAGTTGCAAAAATCTAGTGGCTGCATAAATAAACCTAATGAACTGTAAGTAGGGCTTGGACCCAGTATGCGTCGTCAATGAGTGTTCTCAGTGAGCTTTGAGAACTGGGCCGTATACAATCCTTTCACCCGCCTAGGGGAAGAAAAAATCCCTTGGAATTATTGGCTTTATCGACAAATTTTCCTTACTCTCAGTACAACACACACACATATATATACTTCAAGCAAGCCCCTTTTTAGAGCAATTTTTGTTGGAAAAAGGAAAGATTCTGAGTCTTTTCTTCTCTTAGACTGGGAGAACTATTAGATACGGCCCCTGAACGGAAGGTTCGTAATGAATTTGCAAAAATCTTGCCTTGGTGAATGTAGCCAGTCCATGCGGTGATGAAGGGAGGTACTGATGTCAACAGCAGCGCAGGACGAGGCACGACTGAAACTTGATCGTCAGTTCAATAAACTGACAGCATATCTAATGTGCACTTTGCGAAAGACTTCCAAAGAAACACTGATTTGAGGTAATACTGATAAGTCGCAAAGAACAGAAGCAATGAGGGCCCAGCCATAGTCAGGCTGCGATTTTAAACCTTGAATTTTTACAGGAAAAGATAAATATCAATAAATATATGATCGAACAGACGCGAATGCATTTGCACGATCGTGCGATCGTAGAATCAACTACTGATGTGAAGGTATTCTAATTATGAAACTCGGAACTCAGCAGGTAAACAGGATTATCAAACCTCTTAACTTCGGTTGTATACTAATTTGAAATGCTTATGTAAACAGAAGGGAAACAGAAGGCAAGGCGTGACCAGACAGCCGAATTACATGTTGTGTCGTCTGTACTTCGTCCCGTGTTTCGCTTACGGCAACATGCGGCAGTTTCAATTTTTGTTTCCAGTGTGTTTGTTTTTGCGGTGTATTGGTTATCGTGGAGTTATTCTAGAGTTTCTCTATCATTAGACTACGTAACAACCCTAAGTTTGGCCGGAAATTTGGTCATCCTGGGATCCAACGATCTCGCAGAAAGAAATTTGTTTGCTGGGCTGGGTCGCCGAATATATGGGCCGAAAAGTGAAACATCTTTTCCGTAATCTCGATTTTTCTGAAATATGAAATGTGAAATAGGCTTTTTGTAGCTCTTCCTTCTGTGTTTAATCATTTTTCGGTTTTTTCGAGTTTTCATCGAGCTTTCAGTACAAATGTTCCAGTGTGGCACTGAGTTCTAATTATTGTTTGCTTGTTCTCATATTTAGGGCTGCTGTAATGGCTGAAACCAGGGTAGATAGCCAATTGGCCGAACCTTCTGTTGTTGTGGCCAAAGCCAAGTTCAGTTTTGAGGGCAAAAACAATGATGAGGTGAGAACTCTCTATGTCTGACTTGAATTTCTGCAATTTCTGTGTGATGCCGAGAAACTGCTTTTTACTTTGTTCGATCAAGTGCACAGTTTTAGCTGTCTTTCTCGAAGAATGACATGATAACAGTAACACAGCAGATCGAAGGAGGTTGGTGGGAAGGGACAATCAATGGTAAAACAGGATGGTTTCCAGCCAATTACGCTACTATTATAACTGAAAAAGGTGTCTGCATTTCTTATTTTTGGATTGGAATTGCATCACATGTTTATACTACTCTAGACAAGTTAATGCGATCGAAATCTGTGCCAAATGCGAGTGCCTTAGCGAATGGTATCAACGCTTCGAATGGAATAGCAGGTCAGTGCTTCTACCATTTCAACATTGATAGTGTCTCACTTCGCGCCGACCTCTAAATGGAATGACCAAATGTAGACGACCGGATAAAATGATTGCTCTAACGTAATTTGGACCACCGCTGCGGCTCCGGCTTTCTCCCGGCGAGGTAGAGCTGGTACATTCCAGCTTTTAACGATGCCAATTGCTCGCTTTACCCTATGAGGTGTCTACGTTCTCCCTAACACGTATGCATCGCTCGAAGGTCTGCCTCTCCTTTTTTTCAAACTACGTTAGCACCGAAATACACTCAAAGTCACTGAAGTTAGTTCTCCAAGGCAGAATTAGACAGCCGGCGTGAAATACGTAAGGAAATCTTTGTCGTGGTGATATTTACCGCCGCTCAAACTGACAAATGTGAAAGATTTTATCCAGAGTTCGGATCAGTTTGCTAGCTATGTCTGCTTCTTAACGAAGTTCACCTATACCCAGCACATGGCGCGAACAGAGCAGGGAAAATTTTAAGTTATAAGTGCATTGTTACAGCTGTCGAATATTCGAGTAGCCTCTGAATCATCGGAACACTGAGGCTCGTTTGTCTCTTGAAGGTTTTTCCTGTTAAGGTGTGGCCAAGATTCTTGCGAGTGCGGCAGCTGCTGTAACTGGTGAAAGTTCTTGACTCGTATCTACTGTTCTAGCGATATACCCGATACTTATTCTCGACTTGTTAACTCCAGTTTTGACCGTTCTTTGCCATGCGAGGTGATGGGTGGGTTATGGACAAAACAATCTGAACCAGAATGTCCGCGAAGTGAGGACTGTGTTTCATTATAAGCTAGCATCCTTGTGATACCTAAGGCTGATTGAGTTCTATCGAGTAGCTGAAATTGGACATAGTTGTCATGGTGTACGTAACGACTGTCAGACGAAGTTGAGCTTACTCTTCTATCAGCACAGCATTTTTTTTAACTTCTTCCATTTCAGTGAGTGGTGATGTGGTTAATTCCAATGCATCTCGATCTCAGTTTCGTGCGGAAATAATGCGTGATTTCATTCGATCTGAAGAGGCCTATGTAGCCAGCGTACAGAGAACATACGAAGACCTTCTACTACCTATTAGAGCGGCTGGCATGTAAGCTTTTTGTACTACAGTAACCCTTCACGGTTTTGAATACTGCCGGGAGTTACCACTACTTGGTTGAATTTTCAGTCTTTCACCTGAGGATTACTCTGTTTTATCGTGCTACATTGAGGATATAGCTGCTCTTCAAAGGCTTACGCTCTATCGTCTAAAGGATGCTCTAAGGTACTCAATTTCACATCATGTCGTCCTTATTTTTGTCGTTCTTGCAAATCGGATTTAGTCTGGACGTTACGCAACAAAGGATTGGCGGTATATTGATCTCATGCGCCGCGGAACTCAGACGCTTACTAGTCGCCTATTGTGAAAATCATCCGAAAGCGGTGGGAGTGATGAACGAGAAGATGTTAGTCGTTTTTTCAGTGATTTTCAGAGTTGATTGCCTCACTGCAAATGTGCTCGTTTCTCCTTCAGCTAACTTGCTGTAGAGTTGACATTTGTGGCGTGGAGTGCCTGAAAAAACGCCATTAACAAATCAGTTCCTTTACTTATTTTTCATACGTCCCATGGGTGCGCTCGAGTAATGATAGAGCATTGTCATTATTAGCGACCAAAGGACAGCTCATCCGTTTGGTTGTAAAGAGAACAAAAGAATAAAATGTCATGCTAGGAGAGGAGCGACTCAATTTTTGCCCAGCGAAGATATGAGAGAAGTCGTCGCTAATGTGTTAGGGGGTTAAGGGGGGGGGGGACGTTCAGGTGGGTGAGCCACTCACAATACTTGGTACTAGGCCTTAGTAAGGTGAAGGGACCCTGGGGAGGATGGGAGCAGATTTGTTCTTCCTGGCTCCCCTATCTTGAGCTCGGTCCTGCTGTCACCTCTTCGCGGTTCTGACCTTATTCTGAATGTTCCCCCTCCCCCTCCCCCAAAGCCTTGTGCGCCATGAGAAGAACCAGTGTGGTAGATTCAGTTCAGTTTAGAGTGCTTACAGTTGCCCACCAGCTAAACCATGAAATTCGTTTAGCAAAGTTGGAGTCGATAGAAAGTTTTGTTGTTAGCCACTGACTTAGCGTTCGACAGACAGCTCAGCTGCGAATCTGCAGCCCTACTGGGCAGGCGCAAAGGCACCACTTCGGTGAATACGAATCTCTAGAGCTGGCTTAGAATGACTCCGAGGTAATTCAACCTGTTACTTCGCACAATGTGGGTTTTTGTTGGATATAGTTCTGCGTGTATACTGTAAGCAAATCAAGCTTGAAAGGAATACCAGCATGGCCGCTGGCGTCATCCGACTTCGTCACGAACATGAACGAAGGGAGTGAACGAATTCCTATTCTCCGAGCGTGGAGTGTCTCGTAGGTTACATTATGCGCTATAGATATGACAGCAGACATCACTGGCGCCTTAAGGAACTCGGCGAACAACGGGGTAAGGTGATTTAGGTGTGATGCGTGCCTTTTAATGGATGATGGTTGAATTGTGGCATCCTTTGCGTTTTCAAGGTACGTCTTCTCAACTTCCTGCTCATCGCTCTTTTCCCCTGAAGTGTATCGAAATTACGACTGGATGGGGGAGTGCCATAAGAAGTGGCTCCTAGTCACTTGCGTCCACTTCCTTTCAGCTCCCATACGAACACGGTTGACGGACTACTTGCAACCCGGTCCTTTAAGCCGCCTCAGATCCATCTCTCGTCTGCGCTCTCTCACCTTATCAGCGGCTCATGACCATTGTGATCTCACACATTCAAACTTTTGCCACACTGTAGTTGGCTCACCCACCTCGAAGTCCCTCCCTCCTACAAGGCTTAGTCCTAGGGCTCTCACCTCCTTCCTTGGGATTTGGAGCCTAGCCAGGCACCGTTCCTTAATTGCTTGTGCCCTCCCCATTCATGGCAGGACCATACATAGAAGAGAGTTCAAGTAGTCCGTAAACCATAAGAACAC